AGATTACTTTTGTTTTGTGTATCCTTTAATAGTTACTAGGACAAATGAAGGTGACCGGTTCTAAAAAACTTGAAAAGTGGTTATTGTGCTGCAGTTTCTATTGGTTAGGTTCAAAAGTATGAAAACCTGTGATTTTTTTTGCTCTTTCATAATATTTTATGTCAAGGTTAACTTTTATTTTCCAAATTCAAAATTAATACTAGCTTATATAGTAATTTTAATAGTATAGTGGAAGTAACAGTAGTAGTACTTTATTTTTTGGTGTCTGCCCTGAGTCTTGCATTCAGGGCTTGGGTATGCACTTTTCTACTTGAGCCATAACTCCACTTCCAGCTTTTTTGGTGGTTATTTAGCGATGAGAGTTGGGTTTTTGTTTTGTTTTGGTTTTTTTTTTGTCAGCCGTGGGGCCTGAACTCTCGGCCTGGGCACTGTCCCTCAGCTCTTCAGTTCAAGGCTAGTGCTCTACCACTTGAGCCACAGCACCACTTCTGGCTTTTTCTACTTAGGTGGTGCCTATGTGTGGCCCATGCCCCTATCCTTTTTGCTTTTAGTATTTTTTTAACTCTAAAATAATAAAGTTTAATGTTTTAATATAATATATACAATATATATGTATCTTATGAAATGAAATATCTGTCATATGTATCTTATCATTTATATTACCCTTTACATTATTCATTAAACTATTTATCTATTACAAATACATCATCTTTTACTATAACATGAAACTCATTTCCCCCTAATTACCCTCATAATACGTATCTCATTATTATCATTAGAACTACCACCATTAATGATTTATTATTCAAGAAATAATTATAAATAATATAACTCTTGCTAGTTTACTCATAGTATTTTTTAAAAAATAATGTCTTCCTGGGTTTATTTGGGCCACTTTTGGACTGTGTTCCTCCTATTTTTGCCTCCCAAGTAGTTGGAATTATAGATATGTACCACCATGCTCAGGTTATAGATATGTACCACCATGCTCAGGTTATTTTTGAGGCAGGAACTCTCAGCCTTTTTTTTTTTTTTGGTTCCGGGGTGGGGCCTGAGCTCTGGGCGTGGGCACTGTCCCCCGGCTCTTCAGCCCGGCTCCTCAGCTCAAGGCTAGCGCTCTACCACTTGAGCCACAACGCCACTTCCGGCTTTTTTTCTTTTTGCTTATGTGGTGCTGAGCCGACCCCAGGGCCTCAGGCATGCAAGGCAAGCGCTCTACCACTGAGCCACCTTCCCAGCCCCCACTCTCAGCCTTTTTATAAACAGTTTTAGATGTAGGGAAAAATTCAGATATTGTATAGGGAATTCCTGTAGTATGCCATCATTCCATTTTTAATAATGTTAGTATCTCGTTCTTAATATAGTACCTTGATAAAATGAATAAACTCATATTAATGCATTAAATTCTCTAATTTATTCAGATTTCCTTAGTTTTAACATAAGTTTTTATGTGCCTGTTCAAGTGATTTATATCATCTTGGTTCAACTTAGTTTGTCTCTAGGAATTCACCCATATCTACTAGATTTTCCATCTTACTTAAGTAATAAAGGCTTTGAAAGTAGGCCTTCATAACCTTTTGGATTTCTTAGATGTTTGTTGTAATGTTTACCTTGGCATCTCTAATTTTGTTGATGTGAATCTTTTCTTTGTCAGTTTATCTTGTGTTCTATCAATTTTATTCATTTTTTTTCAAAGAACAGCCTTTTGTTTCATTGATTTTATGTAGTATTCTTAGTCTAGTTCATTGATTTCTGCTCTAATCTTTTCTGTCTCTCTGGTAGTTTGGGGTTTTGTTTGTTCCTATTTTCCTAGCAGCTTTAGTTGTATCATAAGGTCATTTACTTGAGCTGTTTCTGATTTCTTTATGTGTATGCTTAGAGCTATGAACTTACCTCATCATACCAGAGGTTCTGGCATGATGTGTTTTCATTTTCATTGAATTGTAAGCACTTTCTGATTTCTTCCTTTATTTCTTCAGTGACCCACGTATTGTTCAACAGCACGTTGTTCAGTCACTGTGTGTTTTGAGTGTTTTCTATACTATCGTTTGTTGTTGAGATCTAGTTTAATCCTATTGTGATAAGAATGGTGCATGGAGTTCTCTTGATCCTTTTGTGTTTGCTTAGGCTTGTTGGGTGTCCTAGGATATGATCAGTTTTGGAGAAAAAAAATCTTTTTGGCACTGGAGCTCAAACCCAGGACGTTGCACTTGCTAGGCAAGCACTTTGCCACTGAGCTACATCCCAGCCCTGGAGAATGTTTTATAGGCTGTTAAAAAGCATGTGAATTGTGTGGTTGTTGGGTGAAATACTCTGTAGATGTCTGTTAAGTCCATTTGGGTTATGGTATCATTTAATTCAGAAGGTTCTTTGCTGATCTTCTAAGTTGAGTCTCTTTCTGTTTTAGGATCTTATCGTGGATAACACTTTGCATAAACACCATCTTTTCTTAGGTTCTTCTTTGCTATTATACTCAAATCTTTTTCTAAAGTTTCAGATATGATACTTAGCACATTGAATTGTAATTATTTTCTACCTTCTGCTGCTACTTGATTACTTCTTGAGAAGATTATCACCCTTTGAACCTACCATAGGACCTATTGCATAGTTGAAAGTTCTTAGTAGATAGTTTCTGTATGGCTGAATATTTGCTTCTCTATGAATTGAGAACATAGGGCTGGGTGTGATGGCTCATACCTGTAATTCCAGTACCTCAGGAAGTATAGGTTAGGAGGGTAATGGTTTGAGGCCAGGTAGAGCAAAAGGTGAGAGCCCATTTCAACAGTAAGATAGGCATGGTAGTTCATGTCTGTATCTGCAGGTCAGCTGCTTATATAAGGTATAGTCAAGAATGTTTTCCTAGTCGGGCGTTGGTGGCTCACCTCTGTAATCCTAGCTACTCAGGAGACTGAGATCTGAGGATCGCAGTTCAAAGCCAGCCTGGACACAAAAGTTCCTGAGCCTCTTACCTCCAATAAACCATCAGAAAACCGGAAGTGGCGCTGTGGCTCAAGTGATAGAGTGCTAGCCTTGAGCTGAAGAGCTGAGGGATAGTGCCCAGGCCTAGAGTTCAAGCCCCATGACCAACAACAACAACAACAAAAAATGTTTTCTTGATTTGTAATAGAAGAGAGATATTGTTTAATTTTTAAATATGAACTTTCAAGTAATTAAAAAAATGGCATCATTTAAAATTTTGAATTGGAAATATGTACATATTGGCATAATTCAGAAGGCCCATTCAAAAGTGAGTCTTAATGCAGGTATAATGGTACATGCCTGTAGTTCCAAGTATTTGAAAGGTAGAAACAGAACAATGGCTTGAGCATAATCATTAAAAGGTCAACTTGGGCAGCACAGCACATCCTGTTCTCCCCCCTCAAAAAAGAGAGAGCACTCTTGTCTTCTGCTCCAGCCATTCTATTTACTTTCCTGCTGGTGACAAGTGTGAACATTTTCTCACATGAACTTCCACAGATAGTCTACAGAAGGGTTGAGCAGGCTACCTGCCTTCCTCCCTCCCTCCCTCCCTCCCTTTCTCTCCTTTCCTTTTTATCTTCCTCCTTCTTCTGTTTTTCTTTCCCTTTGTCTGTCTGTCTGTCTGACTATGTAGAACTGACTTTGTAGCCCAGACTGCTTCTGCCTCTGCCTTTCAAGTACTAGGATTACAGGTATGGGCCATGCTATACCTGGTTGGAAAATGCTATTGTCACTGTACTTCATCCCTGTGCCTAACAGTTATCCTCTTCTAGTTGCAGTATTTTAATATTTAATATTCTCTACTTTTTCATTAACAGTGTTTATAATGGCTGATCATTATTAGTACATATAGAGCTGCTCTTATTATTTTGTAACTTATTTTGTGTTCTAAGTACCTTTAATTATTTAACCAGTAGTGAATTGTAACTAATAAAACAGGAGTGAATATATATATATATTCCTTTTTTTTTTTTTTTGGTCGATCCTGGGTCTTGAACTCTGGGCCTGAGTGCTGTCCCTGAGCTCATCAGATCCAGGATTAGTGTTCTACCACTTGAGCCAGAGAGCCACTTCTGGTTTTCTGAGTGGTTTACTGGAGATAAGAGTTTCTCAGACATTCCTGCCTGGGCTGGCTTTGAACCGAGATCCTCAGATCTCAGCCTCCTGAGTAGCTAAGATCACAGGCATGAGCCACCAGCACCCGGCTGGGAGTGAATATTTTAAGTTTTAATTGACATTGTCAAATTGTTCTTCATAGAGGATACCAGTTTTTATAAAGATGAATAATCTCACAAATATTAATATTCTATCCAGGAGTTGGTGGCTTACATTTATAATTCTAACTACTTAGGATGCCAAGACCTAAGGATTAGTTTCAAGCCAACACAAGAAAGATATGACTCTCACCTCCAATTAACTAGCAAAATGCTGGTGATTTGGCCTAAGTGGTGGTTAGAGCACCATCTGAGAGTGAAAAAAAACTGAGAACACAATGTCTTGGGTTTAATCCCTGGTACTGGCATCAAAAAAAAGGAAGGAAAAGGGAAAAGATTAATTTGGAGTAGTCTGTATACCTACTAGCAATGTCGTAAAATGCTTATGCCCTTATCAACCTTGCCAGAATTACATTTGTAATGCTATGTGTGATGCTTTCCTTTTTAATGCTCTTTATGTACAATGGCTAATTTATTCCACAAAATGGTCTCATGACTGAAAATAGTATTGTTTTCAGAGATGAAATTTGAGGTATCCAAAGTTAAATAACTTTTGTCAAACTTTTGCTATTTACTATGATATATTAACAAATGGTAAATGTTTGATTTGCATTTTGTTATGTTTAGGAGGCATTTGTGTTCATTAAGTTTCTTCTATACTGATTATTACCCTCCTGAAGTACAGAAGATACAATTTGATGTGATTGCTTTGATTCTTTGTCTTCTAATAGGGTAGATAAAAAAAATTGAAAATAGATTCTAGAGTTTTTTTTTATGATTCCCCCCTCCCACCTCTTTCCTTTTTAGATCAGCACAAAATGAGGCTCCCGCAAATCCTGGGTCGCCTGATGTGGTGGTTGTGGATGAGTTTCGTCCTGAAGAAAGGGACGAGGAGACTGAGAGTGAAGAGCTGTACTCCGATGAGTCTGATCCTGCTGAAGACCTACAGTGTGGACCTAGTCAGTCACAGGAATGTGCAAACGGCTTTTCGGCTCGTCCATCAGTTATTCAAAAACTGGAGATGGGACAGCAGCAGTCCTTGGCGTTTGCTCATAAAATTGAGAGTGGTATGAGAAAAATTAATCCAGTAGAAATTGGTCAACCTACAAATAATGGAAAAAAGTTAATACGTCCCCCAGTGATTTGTAATGTGTCTGCTAGTTATTTACCTAAAAGTTCTTATGACAGACCACTTTCAGCTAAGACTACTAGGTTAGCGCTAGCAGTCTCTTCAGAGTCATTTGGCCAAAGTGATGACGCAAATAAATTTGACCAATACTTTGGAGAGCTAGATGGGGCCTCTAGCAGTCCTATGTCATCAAATACACAGGAGAACCCTAAAGAAACAAATAAGCAAACCGTGTGTATAGATATAGATAAATTGCTTTCTCAGAGAAACGTAAGAGCTAGGGGGGAAATTTCCACACCTGTTTATGAATTCCGTGAACTTACTGATAATGAGAGTTCACCAGAAGCTGAATTTGCAGCAAGCTCAGTAGTAGGGCTGGATAAACCTAACATGCCTTCTGATGAAGAAATCTCTGAAGATGCCATTCCAAAGCATTTTGAGGAATCTCTTTCAAGTATGAATTACACCCAGGAAGAAAGGAAGTTGGTTTTTAACAAGCCAGAAGCTTTGAAAGAGGAGTGCTCAGTGAGTTCTGAAGACAAAGTGGATCACGGCTCTCTTCAGTCAATCTCTGACCAATCCCAAGATGCTGAAAAAGGCTTGGAGCTTTCCAAGGAAGAAGAAAGTGGCCAAGAAGATGAGAACTCAGAATCTAGAGGTTCTCAGATGAGTTTTGATTGTGGTTCCTCTTGTCATTCACTGACTGCTCTATCTGAAGTGACTGCTAGAGAAGTAAACCTTTCAGAGAAAATACCTGCTAATTTACAGGACGAGAATAATAAATCCGTCATTTCTGAAACAGCTTCAGATGATGATCGTGCTGATTCTGTTCAGGTAGTTACCAGCCAGTCTCAAGTGACTGTTGAAGAAGTAAGTCCTCAGAATAAAAAGCGAGTTAGCTTAGTTGACGAATGCTATGATTCTAGTGGCTCCGAAATGAATTTTGATTGTGGTGGCAACTCACTTCAGACAATTAATGAGTACTCCCAAAAGTCTGTACCAGAAGTAAGGCTTCCGAACAAGGCACGCATTCAATTGGTTGATCTGAGCTATGGATCTACTAGCTCTGACGAAAGCAATGATCTCTCACTTGAAAAACCCCCAGTGGTTGCCACAGAAGTGAAACGTAGGAAGAAGGCTCGAATTAGTTTGGTTGATGAGAGCTATGGATCCAGTAATTCTGAAAGTTCTGATAGTGATACTTCTCAGGACCATCTCGAAATGACTGTCAAAGGAAGAAACCTGAAAGCCAAACCTGTCATCCTAAAAAATAAGAAACGCAAACCCACTAGTGCTAACGCACATCTTGAGACAGTGGATGATGAACCCCAGAGAGATGTTGAAGAGATAAATCTTCTGAAAAAGAAGAATGCTGGCCTTGTGGATATGAACTGTGAGTCTCATGGTCCTGGAATGGGTTTTCATGCTGATGCTCAATTAGTGGCTGATCAATCTCAAGTAGCAGTTAAAGAAGTAAACCCTCAGAAAGTAGATATTGGCCTAGAGATTAAGAGTATTCAATATAGAATTGCTAACCTAAGTATTGAGTCTCATGATAATAACTATCAGTCAGCTAATGATCAACCTGAAGGGGCTTTGGGTGAAGTAAATCTTAAAGAGTTAAATGTCGACATGGAAGTTAAGAGCAATGGGTGCTCCAGTTCTGAGTTGACATTTGATTCCGATTCCCCTCTTCTGTCAGTTACTGAGCGGTCTCAGCTGGATTTTGAAAGACTAAAAGAAGATGGCATTAACCTGGAAGATGGGAGCTGTGAGTCAAGTAGTTCTGACGTAACTTTTGATTCAGATATTCCTAATTGCTCAGTAATTGACCAACTTGATGAGGAGGAACCTGTTGATCTGGAAAATAAGAGTAATGAATCTTGTATTTCTGAAATAACTTTTGATTCTGGTATTCCTCTTCATTCAGGAAATGATCTACCTGAAGTAGCTGTTGGAGTAATCATTCAGAAAGAAGAATACGTACACTTAGCGAGGAAGAATGATACACCCATTGATTGTGAAATAAATTTGGATTCTCATGCCCCTCTTCATTCAGTGACTAATCCTCCCGAATTATATATTAAAAAACTAAATTCTCATAAAGAAGAGCAGGTCCATGTAGAAAATAAGAAAAATGAGCCTGCTGACTCTGCATTAAATTTGAATTATGATTTTTTTAACTTAATGCCTGGACATTCTGAAGATCCTATCAATGACATAAACTTCCAGAAGAATACAAACATATACTTAGGAACTAAGAGTAATGAATGTGTTTCTGAAACAAGATTGGGTTCTGATACCCTTTATCCAACAGTTATTTGCAAACCTCAAGTACTTGTTGAAAATCCTTGGCTTCAAAAAGAAAAACATGCTGAATTACAACATAATAGTGCTGATTTATATCATTCTGAAATAAATTTAGATTCTGATGTCCCTCATTATCCACGGACAGAATCTCAAGGTGCTGGAAAAAAAGCTAAGAGAAAGACGAAGCATATTCTAGAAAGTGATAAACTTGGTGCTTCTGAAATAACTTTGAATTCTAATGTCCTTCCTCAGTTAGTGACTGAAAAACCTCAACTAGCTGTTTTGAAGGAGGGCCATGTTGACCCAGAAGATGAAAGTACTGATATTAGAGGTTTTGAAATTAATTCAAATATTGATACTTGTCTCCATTCAGTTCTAGACCAAACTCAGCAGACCTTTTCAAAGGAAAAAGAAGAAGTTAAAAAGCATAGCAAAAACAACGAACAACGCAAAATGGCTACCCAGATAAAACTGTGGCAGGACGACACTGGCCTGGAAAATGAGACTGATGAACCTAAAGGTTCGAAAGAAATACATGATTCTGATGTTTCTTTTCAGTCTATATCTAGTCAACCTGACATAACTATTAAACAAATAAACCTTGAGAATAAAGATCAAGTGTACTTCGAAACTAAGAACAGACAATATAGTTTGGCTTCTGACATCCCAAGCCAGTCAATGATTGATCAACCTAAAGTAACTATTTTGGAGCCAAAGCACATTGAGCTACAAGGTGAGGACAGTCAGTCTTTTGGTTCGGAAGCAAGTTTTGAGTCAGATGACTCTCTTCAGTCAATGGCTGTCCAGCTTAGTGAAGGTAGTAGAGATTCAGATTTTTGGATGGATGAAGATGTTGACTTGGAAAGTAAGAGGGATGAAGCGAAGGGTTTCAAAATTATATATGATTCTCTTGTCCTTCGTTCAGTGGCTTCTCAAACTGATGTAGTTCAGGAGACCAGCTGTTGTAAAGAACGTGTTGACTTGGAAGATAAGGTTGTACAACCTAATGACTCCAAAATAAATTTTGATCCTAATGGAATTCTTCAGTCTGTAACTGATAAAATTGAAGAGACTATTAAAGAAGCAAATCTTCTGAGGGAGACACATATTCGTCTGGGTGATCAGAGCTTTGATCCAGGTAGTTCTGGAGCAATTAATCTTTCACACATCCCTTTTTGGTCAGTGATTCGACCACCACAAATTTTGCAGGAGGAACATTCCAGTTTGGAAGTTAGGAGCAGTGATCCTCGTGATCCTGAAATATGCTCTGATGCCAGTGATCCTTGTTGTTCAGTGACTTGCCAAGCTGAAGTCGTTCAGGAAAACAGCCATTGTAAAGAACATGTTGACTTGGAAGATAAGACTGTCCAACCTAGTGACTCCAAAATAAATTCTGATTCTGATGAACTTCTTCAGTCTGTGACTAATAAAATCCAAGAGCCTATTAAAGAAAACCTGAGGAAGGGTCCTGCTGCTCATCTGGATGATAAGGGCTATGAACCACACGGTTCTGGAGCAATTTATGCTTCAAAAATCCTTTATTGCTCAGTGATTCAACCACTACAGATTTTGCAAAAGGAGCATTCCAGTTTGGAAGTTAAGAGCAGTGATCCTTGTGGTCCTGATTCCAGTGATCCTTGTCATTCAATGGCTGGCCAAGCTGAAGTGCTTCAGGAGACCAGCAATTGGAAAGAACATGGTGACTTGGAAGATAAGACTGTCCGACCTAGTGACTCCGAAGCAAATCTTGACTCTGATGAACCTCTTCAGTCTGTAACTAATACAATTCAAGAGCCTATTCAAGAAAGAAATATAAAGGAGAGATCTATTTGTCTGGATGATAAGGGCTATGAACAACATGGTTCTAGAATAACTTTTATTTCAAACATCCCTTTTTGTTCAGTGATTCAGCCACCACAAATTTTGCAGGGGGACCATTCCAGTTTGGAAGTTGGGAGCAGTGATTCTTATGGTCCTGAAGTAAGTTCTGATTCCAGTGACCCTTGTCATTCAGTGGGAGGCCAAACCGAAATAGTTCAGGACAACAGTCATTGGAAAGAATGTGTTGACTTGGAAGATAAGATTATTGAACCAGGTGGTTCAAAAATAAATACTGACTCTGATAACCTTCAGTCTGTGACTAATGAACTGCAAGAGCCTCTTCAAGAAAGAAATCATCTGAAGGAGAGACATGTTTATCTGGATGATAATAGCTCTGAACCAGGTGGTTCTGGGATAATTCATTTTTCGAATACCTCTTCTTGCTTAGTGATTCAACCACCACAAATTTTGCAAGAGGAGAACTGCAGTTTGGAAGTTAAGAGTAGTGATCTTTGTGGTCCTGAAATAAGTTTTGAATCCAGTCATGCTTTTCATTCAGTGATTAGCCAAACTGAAGCAGTTCCTGAGGCCAACCATTGGAAAGAACATACTGACTTGAAAGATAATGTTATTGAACCAGGTGGCTCAAAAATAAATAGTGATTCTGAGAAGCCTCTTCAACCTGCGACTGATAAAATTCAAGAACCTATTACAGAAGTAGATCATCTGAAGGAGGGATATGCTTCCCTGGATGATAAAGACTGTGAGCCAGGTACTTCTGGAATAATTCATGTTTCACATATCCCTTTTTGCTCAGTTATTCAACCACCACAAATTTTGCAAGAAGAGCATTCCAGTTTGGAAATTGGAAGTGATGATCCTTGTGGTCCAGAAGAAAGTTCTGATTCCAGTGATCCTTATTACTCATTGGCTGAACAAACTGAACTAGCTCAGAAAACCAGCCAAGAAGATAAGACTGTCCAACCTAGTAACTCTGATTCTGATGAACTTCTTCAGTCTGTGACTAATGAGATTCAAGCACCTATTAAAGACTTAAATCTCCTGAGAAAGGGACATAGTCATCTGGATGATAATGGCTGTGAACCATGTGCTTCTGGAGCAATTTATGCTTCAGATACCCCCATTCATTCAGTAATTGAGCCATCACAAATATTGCCAGAGGGGCATTCCAGTTTGGAACTTGGGAGCAATGATCCTTGTGGTCCTGAAGTAAGTTCTGATTCCACTGATCCTTGTCATTCAGTGGCTGAACAAATTGCAGTATTTCAAGAGACCAGTCATTGGGAAGAACATGTTGACTTGGAAAATAAGACTGTCCAACCTAGTGACTCCGGAATGAGTGCTGATTCTGATGAACTTCTGTCTCTGACTAATGAAATTCAAGAGCCAATTGAGGAAGTAAATATCCTGAGTGATAATATGGGCTATGAACCAGAAGGTTCTGAAGTATTTCATGTTTCAAATAATCCTCTTCACTCAGCGATTCAACCATCACAGAGTTTGCAAGTGGCGCATTCCAGTTTGGAAGATAAGAGCAGTGATCCTTGTTGTCCTATAATAAGTTTTGATTCCAATGATCCTTGTCATTCAGAAGTTGGACAGCTTCACAATGCTGTCAAAGAAATAAATCTGAAGGAAGACCATATTTACCTGGAAGATAGGAGCTATAGACTAGTGGATGTTGAAGCAAGTTGTGATTCTGATATACCTGTTCAGATTGTGGTGGATCAGTCTGTGGAGGATATGTCTGTCAAAGAAATAAACTTGGAAAAGAAGGATCATAATGATCTAGAAAATGAGAACTCTTCTGAAATAAGATATGATTCTGATCTTCACCAGCAGACAGAACTTGACCCACCTCAAGTGGTTTGCCAAGAAACAGGCCTTCAGAAGAAAGAGCTTGGCATGGAAGAAAAGTCCAGTGAAGCTAGTGACTCTGAAATGATGTATGATTCTGATGTCTCTTTTCAAATCGTGGTTAATCAAGGTCAAACGTCAGATGGTGAAACAGATTCTCCACAAGTGGTGATTGTAGATGTGGCAGCTAATGACAGCGATTGTGATCGTGAAGTAATTTCAGATGCTAATACCCCTCTTGAGGTAGTGAATGAACCACCTCAGATGACTAGCAGTCAGACTAGCAGTACAGATTCTCCTGTTGTAGGAAGTCTGAAGTGTGACTTTTGTGGTTTTGAAATAAAATATGATCCTGCTACCTTTTTTCAATCAGCGACAAACCAGTCCAAAAAGAGTTTCAGAATAATTAACCGGAACAATGACTATATTATTCTTGGGGACTCCACATGTCAGTCTTGTGGTTGTGAACTAAATTTTAATGTTGCTTCCAAGTCTGTGACTTTCCAGCCACAAGGGCCTGATCCAAGTCGTGTTGACTCAGAAGACAAGAGCCGTGATTCTAATGATCCTAAAAGAGATTTTAATTTGGGAGATACTTCTCAGGCAGTAAATAATCAACTGCAGAAAACTGACACGGAAGACAATGTTTGGGGGGATGAAATAAATGCTGGCATGAAAGATAGTGATCCTGCCGCAGACGATGCTCTCTCTACTGTGGCAGTTACTCAACAGACTGTTAGTAACGACGACCCTTCAGTGTCAGAACGTTCTGGCCTAGAAAGTGTGAGTGGTTCTGAGAAGGATTTTCGAGGTGATCTCTCTCTTCAGCCTAATCCTGGCAAGCATCAAGAATCTGTCAAGAAAACACGCCGTCGTAAGAGAGCAGCTTTTGACTGGAGAGCAGATAATGATTCCCAGTCAAGCTGTGTTCCCAAGCTTCCTGCAAAGAACCGTAAAAAGGTAGCTTTTAACCAGAGAGAAAATACCCATGAGTCTCAGTCGAGATCTGCCTCTGTTGATTACCAATCAAGCTATGTTCCTCAGGTTGGTTCTGGAAAGAGCCGGAAGAAAATAACTTTTCACCTGAGAGAAAATAGCTGTGGTTCCCAGTCAAGCTGTGTTCCTCAGGTTGATTCTGGAAAGAGCCAGAAGACAGTAAGTCTTGACCTGAGAGAAAACACTCATTACTTCTATCCAGGCTCTACTCCTATTGATTGCCAACCAAGCTATGCTCCGAAGGTTGGTTCTGGAAAGAGCCGGAAGAAAGTAACTTTTGACCTGAGAGAAAAAACTCGTTATTTCTATCCAGGCTCTGCTCCTATTGATTGCCAGTCAAGCCGTGTTCCTCCTAGAAAAAAGCAGAAGAAAATAACTTTTAAACTGAGAGAAACTGATTCCCCATCTTGCTCTTCTTCTGGGGTTGATTCTGTAAGGGACGTAGGAAGGGATGTTGTAGAAGAAAATCCAAATGAACCAGTTCTTGAAGCCTTGCCTCACGTCCCACCTTCCTTTGTGGGGAAAACATGGTCTCAGATAATGAAAGAAGATGACATAAAAATCAATACACTTGTGAAGGAATTTAAGGAAGGTCGTTTCCGCTGCTATTTTGATGATAACTCTGAGACCAATGAAGTTTTTTTAAATGAAGAGGAAAGAAATACCTGGCCTGGGTTTAATCAAGACACTGTACCAGTTCAGGCTCAGTCGGATCATGAAAATATTGAAGGTAGAATTGCAGAGAATGATGGTGTTTCAGAGGCTTTAGATAAATCACACCATCATAGTTCTCTAGCAGAGAAGCCTCATAAACAAAGTGAGAATGTGGCTTCTCAGAGCCAAACGGAGAAAGTCAGCCATGGAATAGAAATCAATTACAAAAACTATCCATTGAAGAAAAGAAAAATAAACAGACCAGAGGAAGAATCACCAAAAAGGATGCATTTACAGAGTGACAACGTCGAAGAAAAAAAACCCAAAAGCAGAGCTTTTGTGTTTCCTACACTAGAATTTAAAGTTGTAGAGCCTAATTCCCTGATCTGTGTTTCTTCTGCAAATACTAAGCGGATGGAAGATGAATCCTTCAACTCAACTAAAACAAATCAGTACAGTTATGACACTGCGTATAAACAGAATGACCCATTACTTAAGAAAACTGCGCGGAAGACAACAGCACCAAACTCTGGCAGGCCTAAGAGGGCTAAGGCTGGACTTAAGAAGCGTGATGTAAGCACCAGTACAAGAAAGAGGGGTAAGACTCGAAACCTTGCTTCAACAACAGTACCAGCAAGATATGAATTAAGGTCACGCTATCGGACCACTAAATCTGCAACACTTCAAGGAAATCCAGAAGATGCAAGTGCTAGTGGTGTTCTAAATGACAGTAATTGCCAGCCAACTCCTTTAAGTCCTGATGTTCCCAAAATGGCTTCTAAACCAGTGAGAAATGACTTTTTTGACAGCAAAAGTAAAAAGAAGGTTCCAAAAGGGAAGATGATAACTGATGATAAGTCACACTTTGGCAAGAGTGCTTCTGAAGCAGTTATTCTCCGACAAAAATTCAAGCTAGCTTCGGCAAAACTGTCCATTCGAGTTCAGATGAAAGCCAACTATGTTATTCGAAAGTATCTTTTGAAATACTCCGTGTTTATCCGTCGTCGTTTTCAACGCAGAGGCAATGCTCTTGGAACCTATCTTAAAAAGAAACTGTCTGTTGCTAGTAGGGTAAAGGATGTGAAGAGAGCAACTGAAATGTTTTTGAGCTCCTCACTCCTACCCATTGCTGTTGGAAAGCGCTTACGAGCTATTTCAGGTCTTTCTCCAAAGAAATCCATGCGGCATCCTTCCACTGTTACATCAAGAAAGAAGTATAAGAAAAAATACCACCGAAGAAAGAAGTCTGCTCCGATTAGAGAATATGATTTGAGAAGTTCAGGATCTGTACCAAATGTGGTTAGAATGGTTACCCGGCTCACAAGCAAATTGAGAAGTAATGAGGTGAAATAGGACTTTTTCTGTTTGTCACAGCTAGTTGAGAATTGAACACTTCAAATTGAAACACATTTTGAACTTTAGTGCTCATAGTTTTCCTAAGTTGAGTGGGAAAACTGACCTTAAACTATTTTGCTATAGATATTATTTTTCAGAAATTTTATATTCATTTAAAATTAGTGTTTAGAGTCCTTTTTTTTAAGATTCAAAAAGCAACTTTTGTCCATTTTCTGTAGATCTTTATCTTAATTTGTTGTCTTATAATTTAGCACAATACGTAGAATTTTGTCCCTTAAATCATGTCCTTATTTTTTTTTTAGTGGTAATCTTTTATGCCAACAAGCTATACCATTGCGAGAATGATCATAGCAAACTTACTGATACCATCTCTTTAAGAATTGCGACAAATACACATATACTTAAGAGTCTACATGTTTCAATCGGAATTGTCAATATAGTATTTGAACTGGATAACTAGAAAAATGAACTTAAATAATCTTGACTTTTTAGCATAATTGACTTAGATGATCACAAACAAAATGTAATTTTTTCTTTTAAAATTATTTCAGAGAATGAGAAACCACAGTCTTTAGTTTTGTAAAAGTGCCTGGTGATTTTATAGACATACCAAATTCTTTCTACTTCATTGAAATTGGATCTGCAAGTCTGGAAATTTTTCTTATTTGGATATAGGCATACATAAACCCCTTCTTTAGCGTTAGTAGATCTTAAGAGGAAAACAATTTTGCTGATTTGATTAGGCTTTTTTTTTTTTTTAAACAAACATCTTTACCTTTTACCTAAAGGGTTAGTAGTTTACTATAAGAATCCAGGTAGTTTTATGGCCTTATCTCAATAATACCTTATACATTATAGCTTAAACTGAAATTATTGGCTTGGTAGTGTGTCATTTGGACAGGCCATTAAGTTATGGTCATTACTAAATGGCATAACATTTCACTCAATTGAACAAAGCCAACCTAAGTGGAGGCCCAGCTTACAAGTGAAAAACAGTACTTGTATGTTCATTTACCTTTATCTAATTGATCATCCTAGACTAGTTAGTTTAAAGTAAATGAATATGAAAATTTACCTTAAACTAATTGATTTCTATAGTTCAGATTAAAAAGTGGCAAGATATTCAGTGTAAGCCTACAGAACTTGAGCATATTCAAACTCTTTATTTAGGGACATCAGTTGAGCTGGTACAGGTGCATCCTGTTCAGCCAAGATCCCTGATCTTTTTGTCATTGATGTTAAGGGGAAACATGAATTTCCTCTATATTGCGTAAGTACTATATTTTATTGAAATTAGAGTCAGTGTTAAGGTGTGTCTTGTTTTCAGAGATAAAAATGTGTTATCTTAGAATTAATGAAATTTAAATGTGGTTTTGTTTCAGGGGCCATTATTTAACTTGTGGGTACGTTATGATGGTGATAATGTTGTAATTTCTTCTAAATTGAAGTGATTATATTGAAAAAAGTGGGCAGATGTGTAGTTCTTAGTTACAAAGGTGACATGTATAGCATTCCTTCAACCTTGCCTCATTTATATGCCAACCTATTTCAGTTTCTTTCCTTAAAAAATATCATTGTGGGCCACTAGTTTCAAGCAATCTTCCAATTTTAATTTAGGAAGAAAGCTCTGTCCTACTGATTAGGAATCAACCAAGCAGCTAGTATATACATTCTATTTATAGGTATTGATGTCAGGCATTCAGTTCATGGAAAAAGTAACATACAGCATAAATGTGAGGAATCATACCTCCCATGATTACATCATATATAGAGGATAGGACTTAAAATTCAAGTGATCAGATTTAAAGTGTTATTACCTTTTTACACATTAGAAGCTCTTCTAAGTACTATCTTAAGAGAGGACAGAGAAAAAAGTTCAATTTACATTTTACATTACCAAATTAACATTTTGGATTGTCTTATACATTCTTAGCCCATTTTTATTTTAGGCAAGCTTGAAAACTTGAAATTGTAAAAACATAATTTTAAGCTAAATTGGAATGACATTCAGACTTTGGTAGGATACAAAATGTGCCCCTTTGTCTAAATAAATGTTGGCTTAATTTGCAGATTAGATAAACAATTGGTGATTTTGTGTAGTCAAGAGTGCATTCTTTCAATAGTAAAAAGTCAAATTACAACCATAATGAATACTTTGTTGACCTTATCCTTTTGAGTATTTTGCATAGATTTTTACTGTAATTGTCCTGAGTTATATACAGTTGATGTGGACAATATTGTGTAAAATGTGTGTGTGTGTGTTTTGCATTGTGCATTTAAATTATTTATGTAACTAGGGCTCTGAGTAACACTTTTTTTTTTGCTTAAAGAAAAGCTATATTTAAATATTCAAATAATTATATATTTCCATGTAAAACTAATGTGAAGACTGATGTATTTTTTATAATGCAATTTAAAGTGTAAACTTGTTTTTGATGTTACCAAGATAAAATTTATTAAGTATTGGAATTTGTGTTTACTCTCTCCTCATGTGAAAACTTTTTCTGGAAATACTTAATCAGAGAATGACGAAAACAGAAGTACTTTTTATAAATGGTCTGAGAGAAAATACGTAAGAGAATATAAATGCTGATGCTGGTGAGAAAATAGTTTGACCAAAGATATACAGGTTATATTCAAAGAAGTAGTTATTTCAAAAAATTAAATTAACAAATTATTTGTCTGATAGAGTGGTGGATTAGCAACTTTTCACTCTGTATACCTGTATTGAAAGGATTGAGTTCAGGAGATAATGTCTTTATCATTATTTGACACCTACTGGGAAGAATAAATTCCCATCCCTCTACATCCTCCAATACCATAGCATATGTTACAAAAGACAGAATGATATGGGAAAATGTAGGCTGTCAGTGAGATAGGTGCTTTTGTCCCCAGTACTAATTACTTGCAGAATTTGTTGGTCTTGGATATTGTCAAGAATACCATCTTACTCTTTATAATAATAAAAAATAATGTAGTAAAAAATTAGACAATTGAAGTTCCTTTTCTGTAAAGAAATGGAAACAAGGTAAGGAGACTAGAGAAGAATCTCTTCATTTCCCTATGACTCCAGATGTTAGAGAAATAAGGTTAACTTAGTTTATTTTCTTTGGGGCTTACACTTCATGTGTGTATCTTGAATTTTTTTCCCCAAGTATTTTAAGCTGTCTGCGTTGATTAAGAAACAGGCCTAGGGTGAAATTGTTTGTTGCAAAAACTTTAACTATATGCATATGTATTCCTCTGTTTGTAAGTTAGTACATGCATATTACAGTAACATTCTAGTTTTATTTATTTTAAAAAAACTTTGTATTAGCTTGGGAAGAAATTTATTTCCCCGATTTTTAGGCTGAGTGAACCTAGCAAGAAATGTGTTGTAACACACATGTACTAAATTACAAAGCCCTAGTCCTTTCTGTAGAGAGTACATCACTCTTATCTGTATTATCTCATTTGATCTTTAAAAGAAGCCTTATAAAACAGACACTTATCACTGTCAGATGAGAAAATTGAGGCATAGAACAGTTAAGAGTTAAACCCCCTTCTTACCCCTCAGTAATAGGCCATCACTATTCTAATTCTGTCTTTTTCTCTTTTTGGAATCCGGTTGTGGGGCCTGAGCTCTGGGCCTGGGCGCTGTCCTTCAGCTCTTCAGCTCAAGGCTAGCGCTCTACCACTTGAGCCACAGCGCCACTTTGGCTTTTTTCTTTTTGTTTATGCGGTGCTGAGGAATCGAACCCCGGGCCTCATGCATGCAAGGCAAGCGCTCTACCACTGAGCCACCTTCCCAGCCCTAATTCTGTCTTTATAGTTTAGGTCCCTGGACATTTATATTTATGGTTTCATCTTTATAGAACCATAAAGTATGAAGTCTTCTGTGTTTGCCTTGCTTTATTTACCATGATGTTTTTTTGAGGGTCACCTGTATTGTAGCATATATGAGTATTTTGTTCCTTTTTTGTTACTGGATAGCATTTAGAGTTATATTTTTAAATTTTTTACTTTTTCTCATGTTAGAGTTTTTTGTTTTTGTTTTTGTATTTTTGGTTGGTTGTGGAGCTTGAACTCTGGGCCTGAGCACTGTCCCTCAGCTCTTCAGCTCAAAGAGCCACAGCACCACTTCAGTTTTTCTGGTGATTTATGGGAGATAAGAGTCTCATGGATTTTCCTGCTCAGGATGGCTTTGAACTGTAATTCTCAGATCTCAGCCTCCTGAGTAGCTGGGATTACAGGCATGAACCAATAGTGCCCGGCTCATGTTAGAGATTGAATCCAACATCTTGTGCTTGCCAGTAAGCACTCTTCCACAATGCTACCCTCACAGACCTACAGTTTGTTTTTAGAGAAACAAGTAGCAAATGAAATAAAAAGACCATTTAGAAGCTAGCACTTTCTTTTATGTCCCTCATTTATGTTATCCTTGATTACTGCCCCAAACCAATACCAGCAGGATAATTGTTCTTTTTTGAGTGCTTTTTGTTAAATACTCTATATTCCCTATATCTTTGATTTTTTTTTTTTTTATCCATTTACCACTCACCTTGTTTTTTTTTTTTTTGCTCAGAGAATTTCATCTTAGCACAAGACATTATCCCATGTCCTCAATCCTTTCATGAAGGATTACATACAGGTAACGGAATCATGATTAAGTTGCCCATTTGAATCCACAAGTCCCACAGAACCAGAAAGTGTTGATGCTATTCTGGTTTTGATGAGCACTCTGTCTTTCTCTCTTTTTTTTTTAAAGTCCCCTTTTATATACCCATAATATGTACCCTCAAAATTAGGAAACCAGCAGTGATAACTATTTGCAGACCATAACTCAGATTTTGCAGATTGTCCCAGAAAGCTGTCTATGGGTCCTGGATTTGATCGAAGATTATAGACTTCATGATGGTTTTGTTCATTTCCTTCAGTGTGGAGCAGCAGCAGTTCTTCAGCTTCTTTCTGTGTTTAATAGCATGGCATTTTGAAGATGAACTGGTTTCTTTGTGAAATATTCTCAGTTTGAGTTTGTCTGATGTTTCTTTGTAATCTATGCATTTTTGGGAATTCTGTGTTTTTCTCAGTGTATATTAACAGAAGCCATGTGATGTCAGTTTGAATAAATGTGGTGATAGCAAATATCTAGTGTTGGTCCTTATTTGGGGGGATGAGCGTTTTTTGCAGCTCTCAGAAATGGGGGCTGTTATAGAAGTTAAGTCACCAACAGGTAGTTTACACTATTTTTTTTACAACTGACTTGTAGTAGTTTTAACTGAGAATTTTAACTTACGTTTATTACCCAACTAATTATACACAAACTGAAAATGGTGACACATACTTGTACCTATAATCCCAGCATTCTTGAGCAGAAACAAGATCACAAGTTCAAGGCCAGCCTGGGCTACTTAGTGAGATCCTATCTCCAAAAAGACAAAACAGGCTGGGAATGTGACTTAGTGGTAGAGTGCTTGCCTAGCCTGCATGAAGCCTTGAGTTCGATTCCTCAGTACCACTTACACAGAAATAGCCAGAAGTGGCACTGTGGCTCAAGTGGTAGAGTGCTAGTCTTGAACAAAAGAAGCTCAGGGACAATGTCCAGTCCCAGGACTAGCAAAAAACAAAACAAAAAACCATACACACACAAATAACACAAGTAATGATAACAAAAAGCTGTAATAATCATATGCTCATACTTAACAAATCCATAACTACATTCCTGGCTCTATGGTGGCATAAAATCTGGATATATATATATATATATATATATATATATATTCCTTTATATATAAATATAGGAAACATATAAATGTAGGTATGTAGTAGTGGCAGCAGCTTAAGTGCCTTTAGTATTTTTATGACAGATTCTGTGAGTTCATTCTGGAATGACCACCTCCTGTCCAGTGGAAAAACTCAGATTTAGTCTTAAGTAATGAAGCCTTTCTCTGAAATTGGCTCTAATATTTAGAGGCTAATATTTCATGTCAAAGTAATTACTTTTTCTTCTGAACCACAGTAAATCTGTATGTAAATTATTGAGGAAGCACTTGCTTGAGATGTCAGTGCATGTTGGCAAGTGGAGACATAACTCCTTAGTTAAGGGAGACTACTAAGTCCCTTAATTGAGTCCCTTCTGCCCTAGCCTCCAAACTAAACAAACTAAACATAAAGATGATACTGAATATTTACTTTAAAATTCTCTCATGTTGAAATGTATCCATCAGATGGATGGAATTGTAAAAGCACGGCATTATCTACACAATGGAATACTCACCTTCGAAATAGCAAACTATCATTGTGACCACATGGGTCAACTTAGAGAACACTATAGTAAGTGAAAGAAAAGTACTTGTAAGGGAAGTCTTCCGTCAAACTCATCAAAGTAGAGGGTAGAATTGGTTACCAGGGCCTGGTTGGAAGGACTGGGAAGGGGTTGGCACTGGCCAACAAATACAAGGGTGCAATTGGGAAGAGTAAATTCTTTTCTATCCTACAACAAGCTCATGTAGTTAGCATATGTGTAAAAATAGCTAAGCCTGGATAAGCTGATAAGCCACCAGTATCCTAGATACTTGGGAAGCTGAGAGCTAAGGATCAAAGTTAGAAGCAAAACCAGACAGAAAAGTCTGTGAGACTTCTCTCTAACCAGCAAAAAGCTGGAGGTGGAGCTGTGGCTCAAGTGGCAGAGTGGAAAAAGCTTTGAGTGGAAAAAGTCAAGGAGACAAGACCCTGAGTTGAAGCCCTAATACCAGAATGCATATGTGTGTGAACACACACACACACACACACACACACACACACACACCAGCTAAGACTTAAATATTCTCACCATAAAAAATATTTAAGATGGGATGAAAATACAGGAATATAATGGAAAGGGTGAACTTGTTCAAAGTACACTATACATGGAACTACCATAATGAAACCTCTTCATATGATTACTGTTTGCTAATAAGAGATTTAGAGATACATGGAGTTCAAAATGAGGTGTTATATATTTAATGAGAGCAAGAATCAACAAACCTTTTTCTATGTGGGTAGGAAAAGCTTCATCCTATAAACGTATCCACTAAAGACGTCAAGTTCTAAGTCCTGCCCTAGAAAGGGTGCTCACCTCTGAATAAGTGGGAGGAAGGGTGGGGGCTCTGTGTCCTTTCAGGGTTGGTATATCAACACATGGGACAGGTTTGACAGATGGTCCACAGTTAAAACTCCAATATGGAGAAGGCAGAAGGAAGGACACAGTAGTTTGGTCCCTGTAACTCACCCTCAGGTGTGAAAAACTTAGCCATGGCCTCCTTAATTTCCTTAGAGTATATTGGGGATAAAGTAGGGAGGGGTGAGGAGTAGGGCTGCCTGCAGGGTTGTTGGGTTGCCTCCTTGGCTTGTCAGCTTGATTTAGCCAATGATGCCTGGTCTATAGCCCTTTGGTGGGATCTGCAGTGCTCTCCTTCCTGGGAGCTTGATGGTCTTTAAAAAGAGGCAGGTGATTGGGGCTATCCCTTAGCCTTCTAAATGGCCTGGTGTACACATACCACATGAAAGAGACAGTCAATATATATGCTGACTTTTATTTGGCCCTCACTAAAGAGCTTGAGTGAGTGTAATAACCTCAGCCTTTTGAGCTGAAGTAGAGCTACTGGGGAGGGAGCCAGCCTCAGTGACTTCTGAGAGTTCCAACAGCAGCAAGGTCATACTCCTGTTGTCATCTGTGAGCCAGGTGCCATCAGGGTCAAGATAGGGGATGTCTTGGAGTACAGTGATTGGGCAGTGCAGATCAGATTAGTAACTACCAGAAAAGTGTTTAAAGTGTGGGGGTCAGAATTTGGATCCTGCAATAATGTAGCAGGTTTAGGGTTTGACAAGATCAAATTTGAAGATGAAGGCTCTAAATTGTGAATAGCTGTCATTTGGTAGGGAGTGAATGCCATCAATCCTGCCCTCTGTGTCAATTTGGAAAACTCATGCCAGAACTACTGAATCCAATACCCTGAGGTACAGGGGCCATCACTCAACTGCTGGGGTCTAGTCTTTTAGATACATATGCTACTGGCAATTTGTGGGTCCTGATAGTTTAGTAAAGGCTACAACGCAGCCCCGCTTCTCTCATGAATACATAGAGAAAAGAGTTTTCTCAGGATAAGGAGGGCAAGAGCAAAGGCAGTTAGTAAGAAGTTTCTGTAAGGCCTGTAGGGTTTAGGCTCACTTTAGGGGTACGTGCTAGAGGCTCCTTTTTAGGACATTCCAAAGCCCCAGTGAAGGATTTGGCTGTCAGCCCAAACTGGGGGATCCACATGAATAATACCCCACCATTCTCCTAAGTGAGTGCGTTGCTTGTTGGAAAATGAGTCCCATGTTTAAAATAAAGTCCCTGCACTTCCCAGTTAGATGTGATCCCAGGAGTTAGGATCTGTCCTAGCAACTAGAATTTTTGTAGAGAAATCTAGGCCTTACAGGGAGAGAGGGAGGGGTGGAGGCTTTATCTTTACCCCTGTGAAGATTTGACTAAACAGTGTATATAGGTTAAGGACAATTGGGCAAATAGGAATTTCTAACTCATTAAAGCCCCAGAGCATCCTATAAGGACCATCTTTGTTTCCTGCCAGAATAGCGGGGGGAGAGGGGGCGAGGCAGAATTGCAAGAGCATTTTAGGCCAGCTGATAAACTTTAGTAATGACACTTTGGAGTCTTCTTTTGGCTTCTGGCTTCAGAGACTCTTAGGGATCCCTGGGGGAAAAGTTGAGGTCTTTTAGAAATGTTTTTTCCAGAGTTACAAATAGTGAATATTCGGGAATGTTATGTCCCAGTCCTTAGAAGGACCTTTAAGACCAATGAGAGGATGAACACACTACTATCTGCACTCTGGCCACTAAGGTTGGTCCTAGTTTGGATATCACAGCCTAGGAGTAACAGTGCCTGGAAAGAATGGGTAAAGACACTGTTCACT